GGAAGGAAGGAAGGAAGGAAGGAAGGAAGGAAAGAGAGAAAGAGAGAAAGAAAGAGAGAAAGAAAGAAAGAAAGATTGATTTTTTTTCAAATATGAAGAAATATGTACTGCCGCTTTTGGAGACATAATAGGTTAAAGAAAGACAATGCCTAAAATTTAAGAAAAACCAAAAAACAGTCTAAGAGCTACTTAATATATACTCTAATAAAAACTTTAAAATATCTAAGAATTACAAAAGATGGTTTCTTTTCATAGTCCCAACCCCAAATATCAAACTCCAATTATCATTTCAAACCTAAACCAGGCCATGCTTTAGTTTTTATACAATGACATCCAGATGAGCAGCTGATAGAATCACAGATCCATGGAGACCATAAAGATGTATAGAGATAACTTTGAGAGCAAAGTGAAAACCAGGGTCATGTGACAGAAGCACAGCAGTCTCTTACCTACACAACTCCGTCCATCTCCCTGGTACCCAGGTGCACACTCACAGGTGTAGTCTGTACCTGTCCCTGCATGGCACTGTGCTGTCGAGTCACAGACATGGCTTCCATCATGGCAAGGATTCACTGGAGCAGGGCCTGAGTCTGCTGCAGGGGCAGAAAGGAAACAATAGAGCTGCTGTAGAGAGAATGGCAGGGAAGGAAGGAGACAGGCATCCTTGCAAAATTGACTAAATGATCACCTGTGTGGGGTGGCCATGTGCAGACCATATTAAATTATTAAGTTTCAAACCTGCATCTCAAGTTTCACTTCCAGAATAGATCCTCTGGCTGATTCTCTAAAAAGTTTTCTTATTTCTAGTAGTTTTATATTCAGAGAATAAAAGTGTCCAGCACCATCTCTTCTTTAAAAATACTATGTGTGTGCACACATACCCATATATGCAGGCTGATACCAGGGCATGAATTCAGGGCCTAGGCACTGTCCTTCAGCTTTTATGCTCGTTTGGTGCTCTGTCACTTGAGCCACAGCTTCAATGCCAGATTTTTGCTAGTTAATTGGAGAGGGATACGCAAGCTGAGCTGTCATCTCTATTGTGATTAGATTCAGAGATAAGTGAGTGACATAGGAAAAATTCCCTAAGCTCACAGTCATGAAGTGATTCATCAAGGAAGGACTCAAATCTCCAGCTTTCTGGCTCTAAATCTGACACTTTCTCATTAAAATTTACTACTTCCAAAATCTTACTTTTGAAACAATTCTGAACACTAAATAAATACAAATGACTTTGCTTTCTTCCTCTGCAGTATTGACCCCATGGTATGTATATCTATAATCTGTCCACGAGACAGTGGATGAATGACTGCTGACATGTGAAATCTTCCCTTCAGAAAGTTCTAAGTAGCATGCAATAGTTAATGCTCACTAATGTGCCAGGCAGGATTTGTATTGTATACTGCTTCATTAAACCCTCATAATTATGTAGCTCATGGCTCCAAAGGTTCCATTAATATATCTTCATTTTTATTAGTTTTGTTTTATTTTTGTCAATAGTGGGGCTTGAACTCAGGGCTTCATACTTTCTAAGCTACACTTCCAGTTCCACATCTCTGTAGCACAGACAGGCCAAGTAACCTGGTCACTGTTACATACACGGTTAGGAGAGATGAATAGAGCTGGGATAAGGTAAAAATCTAAGCCCACCACAACCCTTCTACTGGAAAAGGTGTGGTCTGGGACAGAGGGAGCTCCAGGACCTAGATAATCATGCCATTAGCTTTGGCACAGGTTTATTTCTATTTCCTCAGGTGTTAAGAATAAAAATGCTATGACATAGCCTGTATTTAAAGAACCCCATAGATTACTCTCCAAAACTTTGGCAAAGTAGCAGGGTATAAAATGAATCCACAAAAATCAGTAGCTTTTCTGTATGCCAACAATGAGGAAAGGCTGTAATCAGGATAGCAACTTCATTTGTAATGGACTAAAAAAAAAAAAGGAAGAATTAACCAAAGATGTGAAAGACTTCTATGATGAAACTTTAAAAACCTGGAAAAGAAAAGTAAAGCAGATTTAAGGAAATGGAAAAACCTTCCATGTTCCTAGACTGGAAGGATTAATATCGGGAAAATGGCAATACTGTCCAAAGCTATCTACAAATTCAATGCAGTACCATCAAAATCCCAACAGCATTCTTTAACAATTTAGAGGAAGCAATCCAAAAATTCATATGGAAAACAGAAGACCCCAAATAGCAAAATAAATAATCCTTAGCAGGAAGAACAGTGCTAAAGGAATATCAATACCAAACTGGAAACTATCACAAAGCCATAGTAATCAAAATGGCTTGGTAGTGGCAGGAATAGACCTGAGGACCAATGGAATAGGATAGAAGTCACAGAAATGAACCCACAGACCTATTGTCACCTAATATTTGATAAGGGAGCCAAAAACATAGGATGGAAAAAAGACAGCCTCTTCAACAAATTGTGCTGGCAGAATTGGCTAACCATGTGCAGAAAACTGAATCTAGAACCTTGTATATTATCCTGCACCAGAATCATGCCCAAAGCCCTCAATGTAAGGACAGATACCATGAAAATATTACAGGAAGGGATAGAGGAAACACAAGGGCTCCTAGGCATGGGTCAAAACTTCCTAAATAAAGATCCAGAATCACAACAAATCAAAGAAAGGCTGGATAAATGGGATTGCATCAAACTGAGGAGTTTCTGCATGGCAAAGGACATAGCTAGCAATATAAATAGAAATCCCACCAACTGGGAGAAGATCTACACATCAGACAAGGGCCTCATCTCTAAATATATACTTAGAGGTAAAAAACTAACCCCCCCCCAAAACAAATCCTCAAAGAAACAACAATCCAATTAATAAATGGATTAAAGACTTAGAAGGGCTGGGAAGTTGTCTGAGTGGTAGAGCGCTTGCCTTGCATGCATGAGGCCCTGGGTTCGATTCCTCAGCACCACATAAGCAGAAGAAAAAAAAAGCCGGAAGTGGCACTTGGCTCAAGTGGTAGAGTGCTAGCCTTGAGCTGAAGAGCTGAGGGACAGCACCCAGGCCCAGAGTTCAGGCCCCACGATTGGACCAAAAAAAAAAAAAAAACACTTAAAGAGAGAATTCTCAGAAGTAAGAATGGCCAATAGGCATATGAAGAGCTATTCAACATCTCTGGCCCTAAAAGAAACACAAAACCAGACAATGTTGAGATTCCACCTCAATCCAGTTAGAATGGCCATTATCAAGAAAACTAACAATAACAGATGCTGGTGGAGATGTGACATAAGGGAACATTATTGCATTGTTTGTGGAAATGTAAACTTGTTCAATCACTTTGGAAAGCAATATGGAGGTTCCTCAAAAAGACTAAAAACATAGAGCTTCCCTATGACCCAGCAATCGCAGTCCTGGGCATTTATCCAATTGACCACAAACAAGGCCACACTAAAGCCACCAGCACAATCATGTTCACTGCAGTATTGTTTACCATAGCTAAGATATGGAATCAACCCAGATGCCCCTCAGTGAACAAATGGATCAAGAAAATGTGGTATTTATACACAATGGAACCCTATGTTTCCATCAGAATGACCTTTCCCTGTTCATAAGAAAATAGAAAAACTTGAAAACTTTAATTAAGTAAATTAAGCCAGATCCAAAGAAACATAGGTTGCATTTGTAATAATTAGAATATTCCTATAAGTCTACAAGTAAACCCAATGGATGGTTAAAGATAACAAATTACACTTGGATATGATAAACTAAACTAAACTCTATAAACATTCACACAGTGAGGACAAAGGAGGATATTAGGAGAAGAACACAAGCGCTCAATAGCTATGTGCACATGATCATATAAAATGCTTACTGAAATGAACTCCAAGAAACAGAAAGAGCTGTTTTTTTTTTAATTGTACTGTTTGCAGAGGTTTTGTTTTTCCCTTTTGCTGCTGTTTTTTTATTTCTGCACCCTTTGTCTTGTATGTAAGTTTATCTGATTTGGAGAGTGAATGGCGGGACAAAGAGCAAACTAATTCAGCAGAGATACTCTCTAGATACTATGTCAGAAATGAACTATACAACTTGTGGGGGAGGGGTCAAGAGGGGACAAACGGGGAGAAAATGAGGGAGGGGGTAACACTGTTCAAAAAGAAACGTACTCATTACTTGACCCCTCTGCACCTCACCTTCACAATCAAATTTTAAAAAATAAAAATGTTTAGATATAACAACTTAAAAAAAATCGACTCCAGACGGATGATTTCCCCACAGGCCCCAGGGACTATGTTAGTTCTTCCTCCGCACTTTATCCCCTTCAGCTTCAACTTTGTCTCAGTCCACAGAATTCCAATCTTAGGCTCCAAAGACTTTAAGAGCTCCAACTATGCTTGCCACAATAGTTCCCTCTACACCCCCAGTCACCTCTGCTACCATGACGGCTGCATTTAGGTCATGATAACTTAGGTTTTCTTCCTTGTACTTCTGTGCCTGAATTCCTGACTATGACACAGGCCGCTCAGCATCCTCCACGTCTGACCCCACCCTCCCCACATCTCTTGCTACCCCTGAAATCAGCATCGTGGCATCTATGGATACATTTTGGTCGGATCACATGCCATAATCTCTTAGTACCACGCTCTGATGAGCCATTTCCTTTTCACCTATGTCTCCCCATCCCTTTAACTCATGGGGCTGAAATTTGTCCCGCCTCCTGCAAATACTTGCTGCCGTAGTGTGTTCATAGTCTTGTCTTCCTCCCAGTCCTTCAAGGCACCCGCCACTCCAAGTGCCTGCCTCTCCCCCAATGCCCAGGCTACCGCCCCTATAACCCCTGTATCACACTATAGTCAGTTGAGATGGAGTCACTGACAGGCCCTCCCTTTTTGAAAAACTCCAACCACCTACTTTTAAGAAGCACCACCAATGTTTCTACAGCTATCATCTCCCATTAGTGATTGAAAAGAAGGGATAGGGGTTTGTCCTCAGTTCACCTCAATGACATTGGCCGGAGTAACAGAATTTTTGTCAAGACAAAATACCAGCAAGTGGCCCAACATTGTTTAAAGCCAACAAACTTCAGTCCACAGAAGTCTAGCTCCCCCAAATCACACAGACGGCCTTAGAAGTTCATCACTGCGGCCCTCTTGGCAGAAAGGAAGCAAGGAAGGCCAGCACTGGGGCTGTGGTTGTTGAGTTATCCAAGTCAATCACTGGCCTGTGTTTTTTAGGCTGAAAACAACGGGCTGTGTCTTCCCCTAGGGGCCCCATGTTAAAGACAAGAAACCTGACTCTCCTCTCCCAGTTCTTTCTCCATTTTAGGAGAAGGTTCTGTACAAAAATGCTTGGCATACCTTGCCAGAGGGAAAAGTCATCTTCAAAATGTTTTAATTTATAAATACTATTGCTGAACTTTTCTTATTCAGAAATTCACAGCATCAAACATTTCACTCTGGTACATTCCAGCAAAGATTAGTGAGTTCCCACAGACGTTCAGAGCTTACCTCTGCCAGGCATGAAAAGAAAAGAAAAAAATGTAGAGGCAACCCAAAAATGACTTAGAAATTTGGACAGAAGGCACTATTACACTTAAAACTACAGAGAAAATGTCTGGAAGTATATGACACTG